CGATGCTGCACGGAAATGCAGCAGCTCTAAGCTTTCAGGAAGGGAGAAAGTAGACGATAAAAGGATCACTAATGTCAGTCAGATTGGCAATAAGTAAAGAACTCTTTGCAAACCCCAGTAACCACGAGGGATATTTAGTGAAGATTGTAGAATCAAGCCTGAAGTCTTTCAAAGACAAAAACTGAAGATCTTCTGCAATATTTGTTTATGACAGTAATACACAGACCGACCTGATGTGCTACCAAACCCAACCTTGCCTGCAGTGGTTTGATAAAGAGAACCATTTAAGTGAATCATTGACTTCTTTCTGTATCTATGCTACAGGTAGCTATTTTTGAAGATAGATTAATGTGCTCATTTGTATTTAAGCCACGCATTTTTAGTCAATTAAAACCCTTCAGATTCCATAGGAAACACAAACTTAAAAAGTTTTACGTTCTGTGAGAAGATTTTCAAAAGAAAATTGATAGGATCACTTCTACAATACATTCACGTTATTTACCACTGCTCTGGACTCAATACTATGCTTTCTGCTGCTCTAACAGCACTTCTGTGGAGCTTTCCCTTAAGTGGCTCTTAAAACCAACATAAAACTTTCAGTGAGTCAAGCACTGCCAGATCCTTCGCGTTGTTTCATGGAGGAACACTTCATATTTCAGCTCATGGAGTTTCCAAGAGGGCCTGTCTTAATCAATGGGAAAAAGGTTAAGAGCTCTTAACAGTGAAGCAGATAAATACCTAAATTGCAAGAAGGGAGAGCAAAGATCAAGGCACCTATAGCATTTGCTTCACAAAACCAAACAGGGTAGTTGAGGGCAGTTCTTCCTGAGCAGGATGGGAAACAGCAGCAGAAATAACAACCACCCAATTGACAGAAAAACAAAGTTAACGTTCCACTAATCTGAACTGAAGTAACACTGGCAGGCATCACATTTAAAAGTCATCCCCACATGTCTAACTCCTCAGAAGCCACGCGGCCTAACGTAATGGACAAGAATTGATAGTGAAGTTGGCAGATTGCCTGATGAAGGAATAAAACAAAAAACCCTCTAGGAAAGAGAAAGGGTTTAATTCGATGTATTTCCAAAGGGCTTTGGGAGAATGATGCTGAATATGAATGCTCGGTCATTTTGACTGATGGAGAAAAGAATTGTGCCAGCCTCTAAAATGAGCCAGAGTAGAAAGATCAATCTCAAAAAAAGCCATTCATATGAGCTTATAGACTCTCGGGCAGGAATAAGGCTCGAAATGAAGAGGTGGTGCTTGAGAAGCATTTGAATAGCTGAAAACCTGACCAGACTTCCAAGCAATAACAAAAGAACACAGGAATCAAGCTAAAGCTGCAGGAGTCAGCTAAAAAAGTCAATCAGCAAATGGAAACCAAAATATTGGTATTAACCGAGCTACGTTTATTACGTGCTTATTTTATAAATACTAATTTCACCCCATATAATTCCACAGTCACTGACAGCCCCACGGAACGCATCAGTGCAGAAGCACAGCGTTGGCTCACAGAAGCACACACCAGGGCACTTTGCAGCAAAGCTGAAGCAGGGTCGTTCTCTGCTGATCAGCAAAGCTGCCGCACCACTGTCACCCTGCTCCGCCTCTCCATGCTTATGCCCCGAGTTCCAGCCTTAATCCACCCCATCCCATAACCATAACCTCAGAGTATGCAGTGAGATAAACACAGTCATCAATAGCAGGAATGACTCTCGTCATCAAGTCTGGGATAATCATGCTGGAGATATGTGAAAATATGCTATGCAAAGATAATGTGTGCAGCAGGAGAGGTTATGAAACTGAGCAGGAAAGTATCTGGGAAATAAAAGAAATACAGCAATCCAGAAATAAAGCCATACTGCCTTTTTGCCCAACCCCTTCTTTACAGATTCCATATTGTCCAACTGGAAACTGGTAGCTTTTCCCAATACCAGAGGAAGAAACTGTTTAAAGTGAGAAAGATGCATCATCACTCATACAGTAGAAAAAATAAATCATCTTTTTTTTGTTTGTGTGTGCAAGAATAAAACAACAATATATTAAGTTCTACCAAATCTCGATGAGAATTTCTTCCTAAATACATAATGCTTAGAGGGGGGCGAAAAAATAATCAAGCTGACATACATTTGTATCTCCAGGGTGCGTCCTGAACAGAGTGACATCAGCTGGTGCCTGCATGCTGAGCCTGCAAAAACATTTGAGAGAGACCACGCTGGGGCTCTTACTGCTCTGAAAATCAGTGAATTGCATTTGACGTTTGCTGGAGCCTTGGAATCCAGAAGAGAATCGTACCCAACACAGTGCAAAAAGAAGAAAACAATCTGATCACAAATAAGTTGCAAGGCTGAGTGCAAATTAAAAAACAAATAACAGTATGTATAGAGAAGAAGCACTCAAGAAAAAATAAACTACTGATGAAACAGTACAGTAAGCTATAAAGCAAAAGCTCTTCTTGTGGACACGACAAATTGATTATTTTTTATAACCACCATATGTTAAATTACATTTAGTTTCCAAAGTGCTTCAATTCTTTATTCTGTCAGCAGCAATTCCACTGCTGAATAAAAGTCCCTGTGTTGCTCAGGGGGCTGCACCTCCTTTGTCTCAAACATGTAAACAAAGCAGATTTTACTCCACGATCCACTCATATCTTGTGATGATAAACACAGCATAATACTATGGCTTCCTTGTCAAAGGAGTAAAATGCTTGTTTTCTGCCTTCAGATATATAAAAAAGGCATGGAAATCCAAGAGATCATACTGGGACACAGAAGAAACAACAGCAACACAAATATAAAGAATTTTCTTATTATCTCTTATCCAGATTAATTAGCATTAATAAACCAGGACACAAACACTCTCAACAGGACAGGGAAGCAGCTCAGCAGCACTGATGGAGAGCAGAAGTAAACTTCTAAAGGCTTTTAGAGCAGAGCAGCTCCATGTGACACACAGCTTCCAATGACACCACCAGACAGACTGACAGGCAGCTGAGAACACACAGTATTTGTACACGAGGCTGAGACTCCTTTTTGCTCCTGGCATTTAATGCAATTTTAACAAGAATAAATTGCTAACAATTAAGTGAATATTGAAATGAACATCTTTCACTACTATACAAATTCAAACTTAGGCAAAAAAAGTTTGCAATGTGTTTTAAAATAGATTTTCTGTTGGAGGCACAATATAAGCAGTGATTTGCATCAGCGATCATCTTAATTAAACAGCTGTTTACATAAAGTAAGACTGATTTACTTCAAATGCTGCTTGGTGTCAACAGACCGTTCATTTAACTGTGGAAGTTTCCTTTAGGCTCAAATCACTTCTCCCTCCTCCAGCAGGCTGCACACAGCTCCTCCACTGCAGACTGCCTGCAGCAAATTCACTACTGCTATACTTTATACAAGTTGTTGGGGTTTGGGTTTTCTTTGCAGAAACATTTTGGAGCACAGTGCAGCCTCCTACACTGCATCCCTGTGTGACGAGGTGAGTGCAGGCAGCCCTTCTGACCACACTGGCTGCTGCAGAGGGGATAAAAGCACATGTTGGGATCACTTCCCAGGCACTGTGAAGGGACACATGCCACCCTGCTCCACATGACACATACCCAACTACATCCTGCTCCTTCTCTTCCTCTTGGGCTTTGATTTGCTCCCTCCTGATGATACAATGACCAGCTGGCACCAAAGCTCTCCCCTGAATCATAAACTCAAGGCAAAAGAGCAAACATTACTGACAAAGCTTAAGCTGTAAAAAACACCACTATAATTGGTGACAGATGTTCAAACCAGAAATCAACTGTTCTGACCATCACCAGCCTCTATTTATTTACTTCAATACATTAATAGGACAAATTTTGCTTTCCCTGCTGCCAACCACAATAAGACTAGAAGCACTACAATGACACAAAATACTATCCAGCTTTCTACATCCACTCAATCATCTTTGCCTGGAAAACCTACATGGATGGCATTTCTCTGTAGCTACTTGTAGAAACGTTTGGAGAAGGAATGGAGGAGCACAATTTAGAACTAGCTGAAAGGTGCTGGAAAGAGTGAAAGAAAAAAGCAAAAGCACTGCAAAACCTTCACTGGTGAAGACGAGGCAGAAGCAAGTGGGGCTCAGTCCCCATCTCAAACGCTTTTACTTGGGCATAAATCTTCAAGGTGATGAGAATGGGATCATCCTTTACTTGAAGCTTACAGTAAGATCGTGCCTTTCTTAATAGGTTCCATGAGCAAGCCCCTGTTCAACAAGTTGCAAGCTGTCACACATGTCCTGTGTACCCATACAAGAAGTTACAGGAATACCACCCTGTGCACTAACAAACAAGACTGCCTTACAGTGCAGGTATGCAGATATTCACCAACAGATTATCCTGAAAAAAGCAGCATCACTGATGAATTCTTTCTGGGAAGAGCCCATGGTTTGTCTCATGGCTGACTAATCCTGTTCTACATTATTTAGCAGTCAAAACATATCAAAGAAGAATTCTCTGTTGAATAAGCTTCCCAGACACATGCCAGCATTCCCCAGCAATTCCTTTTTGTAATCATCACTTGCCTTTCTTCCATATCTAATGTGTAATTAAATGAACACCCAACATTACATCAGTGTAAAAGAAAACAAAACAACCAGTTGCATAATTACAGGCTAAAAAGAGATCTTGAGTGCCACACACTGAAGTAACCTTAAGGGTGAAGGTTCAGCACAGCTAACACAGGACAGGCACAAGACATCCTCGATGCCAAACCCACGACCTGAGTGCAGCACTGCCTCTGCAAGAAGCTTCATCTTTTAGCAGTATTGCTGCAATACAGAACTTGTAAATACTGTCATGTCTAATTCAGGGGACTATTTGGCACGGATTAGAGAGACATTCCTCGACAATTATTTTGATTATTTCTTTCCACACGAGGACAACAAATGTGCCCTTGAAATCACAGAACATGAATAACATCTTTACGCTTGCCGCTAAATGACACGAAAACACTTACTGAGTATCTTTTCTCTTTTTTTTGTGGGGGTCCACCAGACGAAGAGTATCTCTGATAACAGCTACTTTCACTTCTTCATCAACAGGACTTGGGACATTTTCAAACACCCCAGGAGAGAGCTTTAATTCAGAAAGGGATGGAATTATTCAGCGTAGAACTGAGGATTATTGATTCTACATCTTCTCAACTCCATGTGTGTCACGTATGTTTTAAATACACAATGATAGATTACAAAATACTTCTTTAAGAATAAGCAAATATCTTAGTATTTTCAGTATGATGTTACAACAATTGTAGGAAATTTCTCTAGTAACCCAAAATTTAAAGAGAGATTGTTGCCAATATTACCATTTATATTATACATACAAACGTGAAAAAAATTCAGCAATGCTCTAAACACAGTTAAGAAAACTGCAGGGGATGATGAATAAATGTATTTATGACAAAGACGATGGAGAGCTTTCACAATTCCAGTAAGTCATATTCCAAAGGTATAAGATTAGTAATGATTTCAAAGCAGAAAATTACAGAGAGCCTCCGAGTTTTCATATGAGCAGACAGCCTTCATATCTCAAACAAGGAAAAAGACCAAAAAACTAATCCTAGACAATTTCATTCCCATATCACTGTCATGTTGAGAGGTCTTACCTCTTGCTCGTGCTCTATTCTCATGCTGGGGTTTGCATTTACTTCCAGCAACATGGGCTTCAAGTTTTTCATCAGGAGAATGTCAAACCCTAAAATCTGTGCATAACAAACAGCGTGTTACTTTCCTCCTATTTAAGGTGTTCTTCTAGAGAATGCAGTGGTCATTCAAAGGTCAACATTCAGGTGGAAGAAACACGTGAGGGACAGAAGAGAAATAACTGAGAAACAAACAATACTGCTGAATCATTACTGCAGCCATTTGACTTCGATCCTAATATCTACTTTCATACTACACCCAGCTCTAAACACTGCATCCACCAACACAGAATTGCAGCATTTATCGCAAGTAGGTCTCATCAGGCAACAGCAAAGCTTCATGCTGCATCATCCAGAAGCTAGGAACTGGAAAAAATATTGCTGCTAATGATTGATATCCCATACAGTAACATAGGCCAGCTGATATTTCTGAGGTAAAATTTGGGTAAGAACTTAAGCTGTGAACTCATACAACGCATTGTTCAGGCTGCATCTGCCATTCCTCCTTCCACCACATCGAACAAGTGATAAGCAACAAAACAAAGGGCACGTCCAGAAAGTTAATCCATGCATACAAATAATTGCATTCTTGTCAGAAATTCCGACCTACCTGGAAGCAAGTTGGCCCAGGCTTTCCTGCTGGGATGTCAGACTGATAGTAAACTTTCAGTTCTGGTGTCAGTGCAATAATTGTTTTAATCACCAGTGAAATTATATCTGACCAAACCTTTTTGACATCAGCTCCTCTGGAAGACAGTCTGCACAGAATGCTTGAGAAAGTCCTCTTGCTGCCAGTGTTGACATTGTCAGAATGGATGAAATTCCCACTATGGATATTTAGTGAGTAGTTAGTTAAGTGCATAAAAACCTGGTGCAAATTTTTTAGAGTGGGTTCTTGATAGGGCTCTGTACAAAATCTAGAAAGTCCATCTTTGGCTATATAAATCTCTAAAGGTTCTAAGGATTTCAGTAAGACGTAGAGACGAATATCAAACTTCAGCTTGTCCACAAGCAGCGGTTTGCAGATGTACTCCTGGACCACTGCCGGGCGGCTCTGCAGGCTGCCGGCCAGCCTGACGTCGCTGGGGTCCTTAATGAGGTAGATTCCATCCCCCTGGCACCCGCCATCAGGTTTGACAATAAAAGTGGGCTTCCAGGACGGATCGCTCTCTTTCATCATTCGAACCTAGGATGAAAATAATTAAACTGAAGGATGCTCATAAGGGGAGAAAAGGAGCTGGTGCTATGAAAGGCAGAAAATTACATGCGTCAACAAAAAAGAAAGTAGCACAATCTCATCACAATAGCAGTAAACACCATATTAAAAATATAGAAGATAAACAGTAGTGACAAGCACAAAACTAAACAAATAGACATGAGTAGAATGTTACTAGCACAGATACAAGGACATTTTCTTGAATAAGCCACTGTATAAACAAGTCCAGAAACAACTTCTCAACCTTATGCACCAATTTATGGAATGAAATGCCATGTAACTCACCAGGTCATTTGACTAGCTGTTCACGTGTATGAAACTGTAAAGTTAAAATTCTGTGCTGCATTTTGAAATTATGGACAAAGAAAGGCAGCTTGCTTACTGAGATATACATGCAGGGAGAAAAAAAGGAAGCAGGAATTTCACACAGGTAATTTCTTTTTCTACCACTGAATATTTTTCATAGTTGGATACCCAATGTTAGTAAATCTGGAGCATATTGAGCCATATACAGACATTCAGCAAATATCAAGAGTTTACTAAATAAAACATACAGCTTACACCTGAGCTGCCACCCACCATCACTCTCCAAAAGGAGGATTTTTCTGGATTGCAGCAGAATTCCCACTAGGCCTGACATGCAACTATTAGCCTTCCTTCAGTGGAAGAGAAAGAAAACCTTATCACAAACTCAACAACTCTTACCAATGGCTTTGATTTGTACTAAGAAAATCTGTTTTAAATCACAGCAGTGCAGATGCTTTCCTTAGATGTACACACTGTGACATCAGGAAAGAGGAAAGCTGGGGGACAAAGTGACAAATCAAAATCTTTGGATGAATGTGCACAGCACTCCACATCTCAAGCCAGAGCAGATGTTCACTGCACTCAGGCATCCCCCATTCCTGTGCTGGTACAGCACCAAACACTGCACTCTAGTGTATGAGCCCGCAAACAGCCAACACCAGCATCCACACTGGGGTAATGCACTTTGAAAGGCAAGAATGCATAGAAAAGTCAACAGTCAGAACACGTTTAACCATTCAACATCCTTCACAGAAATTGCTTCTGCTCTGCAGACTTCCTGAAAATGGTATCAAACACTCCTTATGCTAACAAGTTCTCTGAACAGAAGCACTCCAGAAGCAGGGGATGCTCAGCTGCACACAGCCCAGCCCCAACCACCCCAACAACTGAGCACTGGTTTAACAACGAATGCAGGAAAAGGTGGGTGGCAGGAAGAAAACTGTGATTCTCGAGCAGAACCCTGCAGTGCCTGCTTCAGGCAAGTGACCCATGCTAGAGAATCCTGCTACTAAAAGCCTTCCTACTAACCACAGTGGAAATACAAGATTGATTATTTCAACCAGGACTTCTGTCATGGACAAGCATCGCACCAACAGAACAAAGATCCTCCTTCAATCAGGTCACTCCAAGGGACAAAGCACCACACTGGAGATTGGGCTTACATAACTGCTTGTGGATAAACAAGCCCAAGTAGATCTGCGACCTTAACGTGCAAAGAAGGAAAGCAGGGTTTATCTCCTGGCCTTTTTACCAGTAAGGAATAATCTTCCCATTACGTGATGCTACACCGCATACCGAAGGATTCTTTCTAGCTCTCACTTTGCTAAAGTTAGCATGCCAGAAGGGTTTGTGGCTAACCTTACACCTCCACAACTACACGTGCTCTTCTGTGATTCAAGCTGTACAAACAAAGAGCCAATCATGATCTACTAGGGCAGAAATGACACAGAACCTCTGTGAAGGGAGCAGGGCCATCTGCCTGCTGCTCTCCTTGCCCTTCATGCCTCAGGCTATTTCTGCTCCGCAGCAGCAGCATTTCTTCAGAAAAAGAATAGTGCTTTCTGGGGACTGTTGTTAAAGATGGCAGGGCAACCTGCTTTTGAAATTCTGCATTTTAGCAATCGTTGGCTGCTGTCTGAGGTCAGAGCAAGATGTGCATTTACTACAGAGGGAGGCCAGGACACTGTAAAGTCTAAATGCCACGTGCTCCCTACACAATAGCTTCAAAAAAACAAAAGACAGCACATTCCCTGTTCTGTCATCTTGTTTGATGAAGAGAACAACGCATTTTTTCTGGCCAGCAAAGGCAGCAGGAGAATCACATAAGAAATTTGCTACAGGAAAGACACCTTGCATTTCAATCCAGACTAACAGAGATGTAATATACTTCCATTTGGGGTTTGTGTTCTTTTTAAATTAAAAGCCTTGTGATATGTAATGCACTCATGTTTCCATAAAGCACCACAAGGATACACAAAGGACAGAGTAACCCCACCGATTCAGTAAGAAACCATTCTAAAGAAAGAAAGAAAAAAAGGACATGATTATTTGCAGGAAAGGTCTTAATCAAAGCCAGACGAGTTAATTTAATATGATGCTTTCTTGTAATATGAAAGAAGATCAATATCTCATGCTCAACTCTTTCAATTTAAGGGCAAAGGAAATCATTTTCTGAGGTACAGGAGAGGCCCCCTGCAGCTCCAGGCTTCAGCACACACTGTGCACACACTCCCTCCAGCTGTTTGCCTTCCAGGCAGCTATACAGCTGTGCCTCCAGATCTGTGTCAGAAGTGTTCCAGATAGTACTGATGCTTTCTAGGCCATCAAGACATGCCAGAGAGAATATGGGTGGGAATAAGAATCCGGACTCAGTCCATTTGTCAGCAGACTGACTGGCTTGAACAATACAAGATGGGTTTCTTGATATTCAAGAATATTTCAAGTTCTCCCTCAGCTATGCTCTTTAGAAGCGACATGTGGAGGCAGCTTGGTCAGACTGAGAAAAATCAGTCATGTAATAAAATCCACTCACATGAAACATTTCTGTGTATTTAGCTGTCTTTAAAAACATGCTAGCCATTCACAGTCATCAGCAAGAGGACAGCGAGGTGTCCAGTGGTGTGAAAACTGGATTCAGTTGTGGATTTTCCTTTCCTGAGAAGAACGCTGGCTGGATGAAATAGTGCTGTACAGAAATGCATATGATGAGCTATAAGATTTGACAGCACAAAGAATAGGCTATTCATGTCTATAACTAAGAGGTACCCAACAGCTGAAAACCTGATTAAGCCACCAAAAATACCCAGTGCTGGAAATTAGACTGTCCAAATTAGACTCTTATTAAAAATTAATCACACTAGGCCTATTCATCATCTTCGTAGACCACAGAAAGAAGGCAACACGAGAGTAATCACAGTCCTAGTTTGAATCCCAAGCTAGTTACTTTTCTGAAATTGGAATTTCCTATTAAAAATGAATTCTAATCGCATAGATTCCAATAGATTCTTCTGTGAGAGGGAAGGGATGATTACCACAGCTCCCAGGAGATGTGTTTATCTGTAAATCATCTTCCATTATGTGGACATATTAATAGAGAATATTTTAGAAGGCATAAGTAAATACTTAAAACAGCCAAATAAATATTTGCTAACTAAAACCAACTTTTAATCCCACGTTACAAATGCGACTGCCATCTCAGTTTAACCCAAATGACAATGGGGAGCTACATTTTGCTGGCACTTCCCCATACCTGCAGCTCATCCACAGCAAAGTTAAGAGCACAGCTCTGTCAGTGATTACTGCCTTCCAAAGCACAAAGGATAAACACGAGGCTGGCTGTGGTGCTTCCAGCAGGAAGGAGGCACAAGAGACAGTGGAAAAATGGAAGAGTTGACAGTGCTTTCTGCTGGTACTACTTCTTGTTTTACAGGACTTCCATTACAAACTCGTGTTAAGCTAAACAAACTCTTACAACATAAAACATAGTGTTTGATAACAAGAACTACACTTCTCTCAAACACAGATGGAAAAACATATGCAAAGGAAACTCCTAGGAGCGTGGTGCTGGACATCTGTTATTCTTGGAACAAAAACCAAATTGTTTCCACTCCGGCAACTGTTGGAGCAGAGCAGCATTTACCCGCAGTGCCACCTGCTGACAGCGCCACCGTCAGCCGGCAGCGACACCGCTGACACAGAACGACCCCCACAAGGACCCTCATAAAACCAAGTGCCCCGTTTTGAAAGTTCACTTCCGAGTTCCTTTTGCTACCTACCTGCCATAGCTAAACGGATCATTTGCACTCCTTTTACTCCTTCTGAAGCAATAAAGCTTGATGTACTGTTGGGATTTTGTTCCCTTTTTCCCTTACTTGTGGTGCCATAGCAGTGCCCAGCACTCTTGAAGAGTCAATACATAAGGTATTTAACCAAAGAAACAGCTTGATGAGATTTAAAGAAGCAATTATTCAGGAAGAAATTCACATACTTCACAGCACTACAAACCTCTGCACTGAAGAATTCCAATCAGGCAGGACAGACAAGAAACTCTCCAGTGATAATGGGCCCATTGAGATACCACACTGCACACACTGCTGGGCTGGAACTTCCTCAGGCCTTTTACACTCAGTAAAACATAGAGGCATCACGTTTAATTTTCAGACAACACTTCCATTATTGCAGAGAAGCATCGTTGTTTTTAAATCTGTCCTAGAACACGAAGAATTAAAAGCAGTGCATCCTGCCTATATCCAACCTCAAGGAAATAAGAAAAATGCCATCCTTTGCACCTGGAGAGTGATTTTAAGTAATTTGGTCAGCATGAAAAACTGAAGAATTGCACTGTGACGACACACAAGTTACATTGCTCTGAGTCAGAGCAGCTCACCTCAGCCACAAAGAGGGGAAACTCCTCGGGCAGAATCCAGGAGCGAGGATAGAAGTTATATTCGACAGGAAACAAATCCTGCATCGTTCTCACTGCCCGGCTCAGCGTAACCTTACGTACCATCTCCGTCATGCCTGCAAAAACAGACAGAACTTAAACACCATGAGGGATCCGCACCAAAGCCTCACCCCAAAAAGTCATACCACGATTCACTCTATTGGCAGGCACTAAAGCCACTGCTTTAGTAAAGCCAGAACAACTTTTAGAATTTGAATTTGACAAAAGTACTTGTCGTGCTCCCCAGATGTATTACACAACGTATGTATTGTCCTAGGACATAAGAAGAAAATCAATCAGTTATCCAAAACTTGGAGCAATAGATGGAAAGCTGTAGTCCACTAGCAGCTACTGTCTTCGTCGCAATCCAAAATGACTGCCCTGTCCTGCAAACATTCCAGGAGAGGGAACGCTCACATTCATCTATGTAACCGTGTCAGAAAGAACAGATTGGTTTGGGAGCAGAACTTGCAAAGCCTGCTTTCCTGCAGCTTCCAATCTCATGCTTGGATCACACCACATCCAGATGAGCACGAGCTCTGCTCTAAGCTCCCAAATCAGAAGCATTTGGGGTTATTCTTGGGAGTAATCATCAAACTTCACAACCAGGTTCAGGATGCAGCTCCTTTCTCAGTAAGAGCAACAGCTGTGGGTTTTCTTCACAAGAATTCTTCTTTAAGAAAAGAAATTTAGTAAATCCTGGCATCCAGATACAGCAACATTCCTGGGGACCATTTCCAGTTCTGAGGGACAGTGTGCTCTACTCAGCTACCACATAGAAGCCAGATTGCAGCAGGGGTAACACTCATGTAACACTGAGATTTAAGTCACCAGAAAACAATAACATCTTCTATTTGAATGTGAAATACCAGGAGACATGAAAAAGTTGGGTAAATAGAGCATGAAGTTCAATGTCTGTGGTTCCTTACTCTCTCAGCATACTAACAGCAGCAATAAATCTGAAGTAAAGGGCTTAGATAAGTCAATACCTAAGCTTTTAGTCCTTATTTAGAGAGATCTCAACAGGGATTAAAAGAGAAAAAAAGGAGCTTAATAAAAGTGGAATAGTCATAATAAGCTGAGAGCTGGCATGAACTCTTCAATATTAAAAAGACATTTGATGAGCTCTGCTTTCAGCTTCTTTCTCAGCTGGGCATATGAAACAAAACAGATTATTTCCAATTTGGAAAAAAAAAAAGATGCAGCACTGTTCAAAGCATTAGGTAACGTACAATTGCTGCACACCTATTTCACCTCAATAATAACCTAACACAGTTTCCCCCATAAATTCATACGCAAGGTTTCCTTTTCATCAAAACCTCTCTTTGTCCAAAACAAATTTCAGCCCACAAACTGTTCAAGATCCACATTCTGATATCCACACCCCACCCAAACATGATTCACCTACCAAAAATAATTTGGTAAAAGTCCGACCAGCCGGTAGGCAGATGAGTCCCACAAGGAACAGCACACAAAGTCAATGCAGTCCTGTTTCTAACAGCACTTGTTCCACGCAGAACCAGAAATGACGTACCTGGAAACTTGTTGACTTGACCTGAGAATATGTAATTATCATGAAACGACACTCCATGCCAGTAGATATCACACGGCAGGCGCCTGCCAAAGGGAAACTGGAAAACAGATGAGAGAAGTTCTGAAGCAAATTGGCAACACTTCTTCATGTCTGTTTCTCTCAGCGCTCACATTAAGCACAAACCGCCCAAGAACAGCACAAAGGAACACATGCTCTGCATTTCGGTTGCAAAACAGAATATTTCATCAGATCAAGACGCTGAAGTTGAGGATGTTCACCAGGAAAGGTTTGTAAAACCTTACAAACAGCTGTAGCACAAGCTCTGAGAAATCTAGAGCTTGCTATCAAGCACAGTTAAGGCTCGACTTGTTTGCAATGTAAAACGCTGTTATAGAGAATAAAGTTAATTAGAAATTCTTACTTCTAGAATGTGAAGGCACAGCAATAGCAAGCAGCTACCACTGGGAAGTAAGCAAAGTCTGATAATGCTCTTGCTTGGGTTTCTTTTTTCCTTTCCAGTTTCAGGAGTTAATAGCAGCCATCAAAAGAAAAGAACTAGAGGTCTCAGAGTATTTGTCCTTATTGGCATTAATAAACCAACTTCTGTTCTCAGATAAAGCACGATGTGATGCAAAGAACCACGGGCTCAATTTTGTTGTCCATACACCGAGTCCAAGCTCAGTAAGCCCAGCCTCGCTCCCTGTTCAGGGCACAGGAGCACTGGTCAGCAGCGCTGCTGTAAGTTCATACAAGGAACAGTTGCCATGAACTCTGCAAGCAAGCAGGCTTGCCTTGGTGCCCCAGCTGCAGTACACGTAAAATGGATTCCGGAGTCAAGATGTTTAAACAAAGTAACAACACATTTGTACGTTTCCTTTTATGTGTGTATATTCCTTTCTGGTAGCAATAGTAATAAAATAAAAAGCAAGCTCACAATTCAACAAACCATTTGTAGAGCTTTCAACTATTCAGAACCAAAGCAATGATTTCAACTTCGTTAAGGATTACTTACAGCCGAGGGCTCCTCCCTGCCACAATGGCTGCTAAAAGCAGCAGCCCCCAAAGCAGGGCAGTGCCTGGGCAGCGCAGGGTTCCCTCAGCTCCCACAGAGATGCTGCACTTCTGACCGCGGCGCTTTCAGGACACGGAAGCTTCTGAGTGAATTACTTCCCCTGTTTGCCACTGTAATTAAAACTAAAGTTTTTACCAGTGAACGCCTTTGAAAAAAAATTGAGCTGGCTTAGCAGCACATTTCCTATTTCTGTCACACAACTATTTCCTTACTCCTAGGGATGAAATAGCCCATAGAGCAGACACAGAGCGTTCTTTGCTGCTTTCATTACTATTCAGCCCACAAAAACTGTTTTTGTAGAAGAGAAAATTAATTCCGTTCGGCTCTGAAAGACAATCAGTGGCCTTAACCTCTCCTCAGGTGCACCCAGAATACAGATGCAGCACGAGGTCTCACTCAGCCCTTCCGGCTAAAACCTGCACTATTTATTTATTTATTGAATGCAATTGAAACGAAAGGAACAGAATTTGCATTTATATAACACCTTTCATCTGCCGAGGATATCAAAGCACTTTACAAACACTGCACAGAAATCGTTCTGCAGCAGATGAAGGGAGCACGTGGCTGGGCGGCAGTCGTTCAGCCCAGGATCACTGATTCAGATAGCACAGCAGCTTCACCGCTTCTGACAAATCAAGATTATTTGGATTTATCCAACGCTGGGATCTAATTCATCTCCTGAATAGGCTGGGACGGATTCTTCATCGTCTGCACTATACGTTTGCATAAGAATAGCATTTGGAAAGGAACCCACCAGTCAGGTCAGTTGACCCACTCAAGCAGCGCTTAGCAGATGAAATTAATTGCATCTGGGTAAATTGGGTCTTCCTGCAGCAGTGTGAAGACATGGGGTGCCCGTGGCTGCAATCTGCTCCTGCAGCCCCCCCTGCCACGCTGCCTGCTGCTCTCCAGCCCCACAGAGCCCTTCTGAGGTCTCCTTTATCCAAAGGCAGAGGGCATTTGTCAGGGAGGGCCAACAGGAGCCCACAAAGCAAACGGAACCATTCTCACAACTTTGACACAATCCATCGTCAATCACAGCCGAGCTGCCTGGCAGCTCATTTCTACCTTTAGATTGGAAGCCAATAATTTAAATTGCCCCACGGGTCACATCACTTTGTTCCATCACATTTAATGACAAGTTAGATGATTCGTCTCCTCGTCAGCCTCCCCGAGCTCCACATTTCCAAGTATTTCTCCACCTCCATGCAGCCCAACAGCAAGGCAAACGAAATGCCGTGACACCAACGCTGGAGGCATCCACTTCTGTTCTCCTGGTAATTTAAAGCTACTCAAAAAATAATTTATTGAGTGAAAAATACAACTCGGGATGCCCGTTAGTTCATTGGGCACATTGCATCCGTTTGAAGAACACAACGCCCTGCCTCAGACAGTGCCACCAGCACTGCCAGCACCAGCATCCCCAGCACACACAGAGCATGCTGGAAGGTCCCCGTGTGCTGCAGGATGGGGCTGTCCCAGCCAACAGTTCAGCTTCCTCAGGATTCCCCTGGCTGGAAAGCAGTTTTGTTTGGGGCTGTTGTTTCAATGCTCTCACTGCTTCTGACAGAGCATTTCCAGACACCTTCACCTCTTCCTCACACATCAGTGTCACAGAATAAACTCTTCACCTGTACCAGCTGTATTTACAGTGCTCCTCTCTCTCCTTTTTTTCCTCTGTAGTTCTGTTTGTTTGTTTGTTTTCCCTCTTTGGGCTAATGGTGGTATTTGTGTTAATTGAGTAACATGCCCTACTAACACTGGACAATGCCATAAGCACAGGGAGCACCTTGCAGTAACAGCCTGTAACTGAACCAAAGCTCCTCTGGCAAATCAAGGCACCTATAGAAAGGTGTCAGAACATACAACTTACATTCAAGAAAGCTCCCAAAAGCTTTATGACACAGCATGACATTATCCAGCAGACAAAAGTTATCACTATGAAGGAGCCCACCTCAAAGAGCCCGGTAAAACATCTCCTGCCCAAGACAATACTTAAGACAACAGGCCTAACAGCAAACAGAGAGAAGAGAAACAAAACAAAAGCAGCAATGGGAGAAACAGTGACAGGAGTGGTGTGAGAGAAGGACCATGTACACCAAGGCACAGCCCAACGTGATCAGCTGGGGAAGTGTGACAGAAGGGAACAGAGTGAAGGACCAGCCCCTAGGACATCAGCACTGCAATAGATGCAGTAATACTTGCCCCTTTGTTTCACATTAGTTTTATTGGTCATACAAGAAACGGTGCATGTGTTCCCTCTACTGATTCTGCTGTAACAGTGAAATTATTTCCCAGGCTCTCTGCCTGTAAGTGATATTGAGTATTACATTGCTCCATTTCTAAACGTTTAGAAGGAAAGAATTCAAAATATTATGCAACTTGACTCAAAGAGTTTTCCTTGGATTTCTCTTCCACAATGCAAACAGCACCAGTTACAAGACATCACTAACATGTGGATTCATTACTCCACATCCTGGGGCAGGAGGGTCTGAAAGATCATCTGATTTGTACATTGATTCGAGAAAATACTTTCTTGACAAAAAGTAATACCATCTACATACACACTGATTGCTTTTCTATAAGCAGATGAACATTTTACAGGTGTATATCTCAGTGATCTGTTTGGGGGGATGAGTTATTGGCCGCTTCAATGGTGCAGTCAATGGCACACAGCAGAGAAAGTAGCAAATAAAGAACTAAGACTAAGAATGGACCAGAAGAGAAGCAGCAGATTAAGTGGAAAATGCTGACAGAGCTATCGGATGGAGGAGAAAGGATACTGAGGAAGACAGCAAACATAAAAAGATTAAGTGATGCCAAAACTGCTGTTGTGGGATGCAGAGTGGGAAGGAGAATGCTGGTAATGCAGTTTAGAAAGGAAAAATAAGAATATAAGAAACAAAGTCAGCTTGGAGGGCAGTAAATCACGCACGAAAAATGCAGGAAGCAACATACTGAGTACAGTAAAACCTCAAGAAATGAGAAAGACAAAGTTAACTGCTAAACATAGCTCATTACCAACCAAAGCTGCAATTTGACTTAAATCAATGCCTAAAAACACCCACTGGAACGGTGCTGATAAAACTTGGCCAAGAGCACAAAAACCACAACAGGGGGACGCCCCGCTCCGCCACCACTGGGCAGGATGCAGCAGAGCTGCTGGCAGATGCATCACGGGCCAACTTCCAGTTGCAGGAGCAGGAGGTGAAGCTTTTGTAGCTTTTAACTCTGACCGTTGAGGTGACACAGAATGCAGTGCCTGCCCCACAGCGCACAGACTAATTGCGAAAAGCACCGGGTGCACAGAACCACCTCGTATGGCTGAAGGAGGAGCCGGGACAAGGCAGGGATCCCGAGGGCAGCGCAGCACGGCGCACAGACGGCAGCACAGCGTCCCAGCCTGGATTCCAGCCCTGCTCCGTGCCCTCGGCCTTCCCCTCCCAAACGCACTCCGCTGCTCTGACAAGTTCCTAGAGATGCCCCCAGATGCAGCCTCAGTTCCTACAGAACTATTTTTAAAGTCTCTGTGGAAAAAATCTCTGCACTTCAAGAACAGCCCAACGGCAGCAGTAACACAGCAGAAACTCAGCATTTAATGACGCGTGGTTTGCTGCAGCTCCGCGCTTCCAGGGCAGCGCTACGGCAGGCGCCGAGCCGCAGGAAGGACACGCAGTGCCGTGCCATGTTCATCTGCTTCAGGATCACAGGACGCACCGCGGAGCGGAACAAAACAGAAGAGAGGCGGAGCGGAGGGCGGCCGCAGTCCGCCCGGCCCCGAGCGAAGCCCCCGGCAGCCGCCGCCGCGCCAGGCCCCGCGGAGCCGCGCTCACCTCCCTCCAACGCAGCTGCCGCAGGCTGATCTTCAGCGCCTCCAGTGAGGTCTTGGCCTTGGAGCTATCCACGGTGACCCGGGGCCGCCGTCCCACCCGGGCCCCCCGCTCCTCCGGCCCGCGCCGCCCCCCACCCCGGGCCGCCCGCCCGGCCGGGCCGCGACCGCGGCTCCGTTCCACCGCCGCCGCCTC